CTTACTAGTCTAAGTACCAAATCAATCATCAAGAGAATTATTTATCTACCTCTTTCTTAAGAAGGAATGGATTTCATCTCGTATATTAACATTTCTGACTACCTACTTTATCATGTCTCTAAAATACGAGGAATAAGATTCAACATCTCAGAATCCAAACCGAGTAAATCAAAAGGCATAAATCCATAAATAGGAATATACTAATAACTCAAGATTAAGATCATTCTATATATGACCATTGATAGACTCAATTAGAATTTATATACTTAATGAAAATTATCAAAAATTCATGTTGTATATGTGTCTCGGTTTCACACAATCTCATCATGCGTAATACATTCATTCAATATCTTGTCCTATTAATAGTGTAGATAACATCATTTTATTCTAAATGGAAATTACATGTATTAGTAATATTTTAATTAAATATTTTAAACTTTAATTAAATTCATTATGAATATCATTTTAATTATTATTCTTAAATTTTATCATTTCACATATAACACTGTATACAATATTTAAAGTCACATAAATAATCATAAATTTTTTAGTGATATTCAACAAATATTCAATAATATATAAACATAAAATAATAAATAAATTATGCTCCCCACAGTTAAGCCATGCCATAGATTTTGAGGTAAAAAAATAATAAATAAAAGAAGCCTATGCAATGCCAACAATCAACATGCAAATTGCAAGTTAAAAAAAAAAGGTAAAAGTTTTTTTTTTTTCCTTTTCTCTTTTTCTTCTCTCATTTTACCAAACCCCAAAACAGTGAGCAAGTAATTTCCTTATGACCAATTAATCCCGAGCTTTGTCGTGATGATCAAGATGACGACTCGGAGAAGTCAACGGAAAGAGATTCAAGAGCTCCGGCGGCTCCGACGCCCGCGGCGTGCTCAGCGGCGAAGGGTGCAAGTAAAACCCCTTATCGGCAATCGCCCTCTCCTCCTCCGACACCGCCGGCGACGACGGCGACGGCGAGCCCGAGCTCGGCACGAAGAGCGACTCGGACCCTAAGGGAGTCACCGGGCTCGGAATCGGTGAGTCGACCCAGTGAATCTGACGCGGCGAGAGGTGATATTGGTAGCCCGGCGCCGGAACCGTTCCGCTGCTGCCGCCGATGGTGGCGAGGCTCAGTTTGATCTCGAGCTTCCTCATCGTTTGTCTCCGGTCTTGGAGCTTGAAAGGTGACCGGCGAGGGCCGGTTGGGTCGACCAGAATGCTGGGTTTAGAAGACAGCCTGGTCGGGAGGGTGACCGGGAGCTTCTCGGTGTCACCGGACGAGCCGGTCAGCTTCTGGACTAGGTCTTTAAAAGTGTTTGGGTCTGCTTGGACGAAAGTCGTTGGTGCTGGCGATGTTGGCGATGGAGTGGTAGGAGCAGCAGCAGCAATAGCAGTCGTCATGGTTTTCATATGCTTTTCCATATATTTTTCTCAAAACAAGGCAGTAATAATATTACTCTCATCAAATAAATAATATTAATAATAAACAAATCGAGTTTTTGTCAGTGAGAAATAGAGGGGATTTTCATGTGTATATATGTCAGCTGATCAGAGATGGAAAAAGAAAGAGAGTATTTGTTTTCTGAGAGTGTTTTGTTTTTCTTTTTTTAAGTTGTTGTTGAGAAGGAATAACAAGGGAAGGTTTTTATAATGGTGATTTTGGGAAGCCTGAGCGAAGAGGGGTCCTTTTTATAATATTATTTTATTCAGCTTCTTTGATGGATTTTGTTGTGGGGTTTGGAATAATATTTTTTTTATATATATTTGTGTGAAACTACCTTAGTCTAGTTTTAAAAGAAAGCTGCTGACACTAAACTGTGCCAAAATACGTACAGGTCACTCCCCCACAAGCCCAAAGTATGACTTTAATTTGTCTGTTTGGTTTCCGAGAAAATTACCTCACGAAATATTATAATGTTATGTTGTTGTGTGTCGTGTATTAGTAGGAGAGTTGAAAATTTTGAATTATTGAATATTACCAACCTAATTAGATATGATATTGTTAATTATATGAAACAGAGGAAATGTATTACTCCTTAAGCACTGACACAGTTTGTTCCAACTAAAAAAGAGGAGAAAAAAAATGGGGGGCAAGAAAGCAGAAACATAGTTGAAAACACTAATTAATTAAAGACTTGAACATTGAACCTTATCTACTGTTAGAACATCTTGTAGACTTGATTTCAAAATCTCGAAAATAATTTCCCACCATTTATATCACAAAATATCTTGGCTTTAGATTTATTGTGGTGTTTAGATTTTCGTTAGGTGGAAAGTGAGAACAATGTGTTTACAAATTAACAATTTCATACCCTTTTGCTTTGTCACTTGATTGGCAATTTCTAGATACTTTCTCAGGCTTTTGCTAATTATAGCTCATTATTGCAGTCATTTTGCTATCAAAAGAAATAAAATATAACCATCATGACATTTCGGTGTTTCTAGCATGCAATTGCAAGCTGATGAAAAGTGCTAGTTGATCATGACAGTATAATTTGTACATTACCTATCATATCTTTTTTATAACTCTTGGCACGAATTTTACAGTTAAAGTCATACACTACACACACACACACCTATATATATATATATATATATATATATATACATGTACGCATAATGTATGTGAATTTGAATTAAAAGGATTCAATATTGAGCTTAATATTTTTGAATCATAATTTGCAATAGAAGAATGAATTGGTCATGATCAAACTTGAAAACCGATTTACTAATTAAGATCCCAAGTTTAATTCAAATTGGCCGAGAAGGTGTTCGGATATATGGAGGAATGAAACGGCACTGAAAGTGTCCCAACAGAGTTTTTTTTTTTTTTTTTTTTGCTAGTCAGTCTCCAACACTAAGTTATTCCATCATCCTCATGTTCTGTATAGTTGCGGCCAGCAATTAAGTAGAGTTTTGATTACGTTTAAACTTTATTGTCAACGATCATTATAAAATCATAGTGACAAATCTCCTATTATATTTTATTAAACGTTTATTGTACGAAGTCTCCCACCTATCTCTTTCTAGCTTCCCTTTTCTCTTTTTCCTTTGTGACGTTTTTGCATTTTCAATTTGAGTGATCAATTTTTATACTTTCTAATTCTCTGGCAAATAATTAACTTTAACTTGTGTTTTATAACAAATACATGTCTTTGAAGATGACGCAGTCATGAGTGATTATTCTGTCATACACAACTCAAATGTAGTTGAACTCATACTTTCTTTAATATTGTTATTAATTGGTTTATTTTATTTTATTTTAATATAACGTATCTTTGAACTGAAATTCTTACCATACTAAATTAACTTTTCAAGTAAAAGAGGAAAAACGATAGGCAATATATTTTATTTGCATAATAGAATAATAGGCATTTTCTTTTTCTTAGGGAGAGACGTTCAAGAAAGGAGTGAGTAGTACTGTTAGCATACTTGCTTTGAACGTCATTAGAGAGGCTCTCTTAACGTTAATAGGAATATTCGTTAAAAATCTTACAGTCGGATCTTATACCCCTCGACATGTCACCTTTACCCTATTGATCAAATGTGCTAGCCATTATCGGAGTCAGCTTTTCACTTCAGTGGAGGCATGTACTAAATTTTTTTTAATAAATTATCTCAGTAGGTGTATATAAGAAAATATATTTATTTTAATAGGGGCATATATATTATTTCAGTAGGGACTTAAGTGAAAAATTTTAAAATTTTTAAAGGTAATATTTTTTTCAAAAAAATTTGAGTGGGGGCGGTCTCCTACTGAGCTATACTTAAATCCGTCACTGGTACTAGCGGTTAGAATATGTGCGGGCGAAATTTATACATTCTAAAGAATACCAGGCTGATAAAGATAAACCTTCACATTTAAGACCCTCAAAAAGCAATTCACCAAACACTCAAACCTTTCGCCATTTACCTACTATTATAGTCTATTACCATCGGACCTCCCCAGTCGGTGGTAAAGGAAATTTAATTGCATCTCCTACAGAAGCACCAAATGGAAATTGCTTCTTTAGGTATAAGAGAGAAGTGCGGTATTACAAATATATAACTCTGGTAGTTATTTGGTCTATTTTTCTTCTAGTTATAACTTGGAAATTCTTTTCACCGAAGTCACTCATTTCTTATATCAGTAACTCATGTGGCTAGAAACTTCAACTGTATAATTTATCCTCCTCTATATAATCAGTGATATTATTCTTTTTTTTTTTTATAAAACATGTGTATTCGAATTGAAAAACTCTAAGAGAAAACAATATATAGATGGGAATGGATGAGTGAATTTTACCGTTTGAAACTTCATGTGTGTCTGGTAATATAATTAGACCTATTCGGGAATGTTAAAAAAAAAAAAAAAAAAAAAGGGATTCAAGGCAAAAAGGAAAAAGAAAATAAATAAGATTGGAGGTCGGTGTTTGATAGCGTGTATCATTTTAGAACACAAGAAGTTGTTATTTGTTTCAAAAGATGAATCTAATTGAAGCTGAGTTGAGACTGAGAATATATATGTAGTTTAAAAAGAAAGAAAAGGGAAGGTTGTCCTGTCATCTATGCAGCTCCTCAAGTAGACAACAAGACTTACACTGTTGCATTTTTATTTTTATTTTTTGAAAAAAAAAAAAGTTAGGAAACTTCTCCGATACGCTAACATATTGATAGATCAAGTTTTTTATATATCGCATCTGCATAAAATCATGCAAAAGTAAAAAAATATACAGATCTAACGATTAAAAAATCTAATCTACCGGTAAGCTAGACGTACGAGAGAATCTGAAAAAAAAAAAAAAAAAAAAAGTTAGGGAGAGAGTCAGACAGAGAGATTAACTGGTTCTTGTCCATTATGCGTGACATTCATTGAGCCTTTGATTGTTTCATTGCACTCTATTAGGGAACATCAAACCATATTCTAATTACTACATGAAATTTCTTTTTGCATGCATGTAAGAATCTTTTAAAATTGAATTATTATTTATCATAATAGTCATATCACAGAAATACACAAAACGTTTTATTCTTCTCCCAGACTACGTTTGGTTGGGAGGAAAGAAAACAAGGAGAAAAAAAAATCAAACACATAGAAAATTTGAGGGATTAACACTCGTACTCAAATTGTCAGGTTCCCTTCAGTTTTCCTCTCAAGTCCCTAGTGACAATAGTTGTGTGAATCCTTGATCTTCCTAGCCCATTCTGATTAAAGTCCATTCATTCGACTACCTCACCTTGGAGAACGCTTAAAGCCCATGCATAGGCCCATTTTGATATACCCATTTTGGTTTGAGTAATCTCGGTGAATTGAATTGTGATTTGATTCAGTATTTAGATATATAAATAAATTTTAATTTAAATTAAAAATAAAATTTAAACTGCGTTTGGATAAAACGTTGACAACTGTCATTAGAATTTAATAACAACTCTTATAAAATCTCGTTGTAAATGAAATTAAAAAATATGCAATATGCACGTGGATTTATTCATCTTTTTATTATGAATACATCAAAAAAATCATCTTAATTAGAATTAAAAGCGAATAATTTATAACATTTTTAAGCTTGAAGTTGAGGGGAGATAAAAAGTAGATTTCTTAGGATTTTGAATTGTTATTCATTGTAGCTCCCCCGTTAGGAACGGTGAGCCTTCTAAGTTGTGGGGTGGTAAATTCTGAATTGACCCTTTTAAGTTGTGGCAGATGGTCAGAATGGACCCCTTTAATTCCCCAACCAAATATATTTTTGGACCTTTAGGCCTCATTTGAATTGGACTTAAAGGTTTGAGTAACTCAAAAAAACAGGGGCATTGTTTTTCATTCAACCAAGTTGTCAGTTCAACTTTGGTAGGAAGGATTAGGGGGAGAAAGGAAAGGGAAGGAGGGAAAGTGAGAGAAGGATTGAGGGTAATCTCTTGTTTGGTAGAGGGGAATGGCCCAAGGAAAGGATTGCTAGGGGCATTCGCGGATTTGATTATGCGGATTAAGAGTCAATTTACAGTTCAATCTGTTACTGTAAATTAGAAAAATCCCAATCTATTACTAATTTGTTAGATCCCAATCTAATTCAATCTACAACGGATTCCACCAAAATTGTATATTTTAAAAACATAATATACTTACATAAATGAATGTTAGATCTGCCAAAAATTTGCCGGATATTCACTTTATTTCCACCAATTCCTTGTGTTTTATGTCTAAAATTGCTTTTAAAATTATTACATAAACGGTCTATTTTTAAATACTCATTTAAAAACTTGTCGTCAAACCTTTTCTTCACAATGTTATAGTGTTAAAAATCTTTTATAATTTAATTGTTTGTTGTACCAATTTCACATTTAAAAAAAAAAAAAAGGATTATTGGCACAAATAGTCCCCAACCTATTTAGAAAGTGACAGTCTGATCTCCAACGTTTTTTTTTTTTTTGGCAAATCAACCCCCAACAATTTAAAACAGGTGCAATCTGATCCTTTCTGTCAAGATCCGTCTAAAAATTAACATGAGAAGCCTACGTGACCCCTTAATATGAGGTATATGTGTAAAAATACATCTTTAGTTGATTTGGGGGTGATTTATACGGTGGAAGAAGAGAATTGTGGGTACTTGATATGTAATTGAGAGTCTAAATTAAAATTTAGACAATCACATAAAAGGCCCAAATTACCCAACATGTCTCCACCATCTTCCCACGCTGAATTAGCGTAAACTAGAAAAAAAAAAAAAAGTGAAAAACTCACGACGGAAGAGAAAGAGAGCCGCCGTCTATTTCGGCCACCTCCGGCCGACCTACTATGAATTGAGACTAGACCCAGAGAGCCCATGACCTGATCTACAAAACCCCCCTCACCTCACCGCATGATTCGTCGCCGATCGGTTGGAATTTCAATTTGAAATTTTCGACCACAACACCTTCCAACGTAGATTTTGGCGCCTTCCGACGTCCAATCCTCCGGCAAGTGGTGTCTTTAGACTCCTCTCGTCGAGCTGAACAAATTAATACCAAGTCTGCCGTCATTGGTCGCCGGAATAGTTTTGACCATCTCCCGTTCGATTTCTGACAATTTCGCTTTTGGTCGCCGGAAGAGTTTAAGCGGGTAATTTCGTCTTTCCATCAACAATCTGGCTCACGTGGGCTTCTCTCGTTAACTTTTGGACGGATCTTGACGTAAAAGACTAGATTACACTTGTTTTAAACGGTTGGGGGTCGATTTGCCTAAAAAAAATATTGGGGACCAAACTGTCACTTACTAAATAGGTTAGGGATTATTTGTGCGAATAACCCTAAAAAAAAATAATCATCATATCTTGCATTATCATAAAGTTTTAATCTTAATGATAATTGACACATATTTATATATTGTACACAAATATTGTCCTTTTTTTAAAAAAAAAAATCTCAACATTTTTCATTATCAAACTTTATGCACATATTTATCACTTCTCATAGAGATTTTGTGGTTTGATTTCGTTGATTCCGATGATGAACATTATCAGTAAGTGGTGACTTTTATGATAATGAAGCATATTGTACATGAATGTTGTCACTTTTCCACTTAATCCTATAATTCAAGTATCATGAAAATGCTGCTAACTTAGAAGAAGGGAAAATTGAAAATCAAATCAAGGCTTTTCGGTTTTTTGGGTAGTGAGGCTTTACTTTTTTTTTTTTTTTTTTTGGACTAAAAAGGGTAGTGTGGCTTTACTAATTACTATCCTCGCATTCAAATCAAGTCGTATCTATTGGTCGGCTTTGTGGGTTTTCTATTGGTTCTCTGTAACGGGTCAGATTTTTTCAGTCGTTTATCTCTGCATGTGTTCTAAGTTTCTGTCTAACTAAGCCAAATGGCCTTTTTTGCACCTCCTGAAAACACCCAAATGCCTAATTCTGAGCTGCCACAATAAGAAGAAAGTAAACACAAGACAAAAATCATATATATATATATATAAATTTATATATATTTAAAGGAAACTTGAGAAATTTCAGTAAGAAGGAGAAAAGTCATTACAGACAATATTGGTAATGCAGTTTGGGAGTTCATCCTTCCAACAAGATGATGAGCCAGACTGGAGACCAAATTTTGCAATTTCATGTGCCACAGAATTGGCCAATCTAGAAATATGAGAAAGACTACAATTCATTACAAGATAAAATACCATAAAATGTCTCACTCTCACTTAAAGTTGATCAATATCTGATCTATTAGGAATTATGTTAGATGTTTCATTATAAGATTATCAGTTTTGGTTTTTTTTTTTAAAGGAAAATAAGATTATCAGTTGCTATAACTTAAAAGAGTGATTTAAATTAAAATAATAAAGGATACATGTTTATATTTATCAACACCAACACCATATTAAGTAGAAATAGTAAGTTAAATGAAAGAATTGTGATTGTTTTAAGGATTATCTCGCAATAGTGTATTAAACAATACTTAATATAGAATTATAAATTATCACGTCACATTAAAATCGTATCATATCATATTAATAAAAATAGATAATTTAATTACACTTGCAATATGTTACAAAAATGCACTCTACTAATAGTGTTTTACACCGTCACGTTTATATCACGAGTTTTGTAAATTTCCAACTTGAAATGTTCTACAAATTCATATAAGAAAGCTACCCATTTCTTCCCTTAAAAAATATGAAACATTCACTGGTACATTAATACAGAGATAGTTTAAATTTTTTATCGGTTAAATCATAATAAAAACACTTAAAAATTAAAAAATATGTAAATATAATAATTAAAAAAATTCAATCTACCAATACACACGAAGAATCTTTCTTTGTTTTAGCTTACGCACTTGGTTTTCACACAAGAAGGTGGGTCCCAGGCATATAAAACGTTTAGCTTACGCACTTGGTTTTCATTTTTCCTTCTTCGGTCCGACTTTTTTTTTTTTTTGCTAATCTTTCTTCGTCGCTCGTTTGAAAACCATTATATACCTCCCGAAATCAAGTCTCAAGCCATTTTTTTTCTCTCTACAAGTTGAAGAAGACGAAAAGGAGTTGCCATGACTAGCTGTATGTTGAGTAGGCCCATCGCCGTAGCCAAACCGATTCGCATCAAGGGCTTCGTGTCGCCGACGAGAGCGCTGAATGGTGCTGGGTTTTTCGGCCGCCATGGTCCAATTACGAGGTCATTGAGTTCTAGGGTTTGCGGCGTCCGTGCTTCAATGGTGGAATCCTACGAAAGCTCATCCAATTTCATCAAGCGCATGGAACAAGCCTGGTTAATCTCTCAGGTAATTTTGTTTTTATTTTTTCTAATTTTTTTTAGGCAAAATGGAAAATTTGTTACTTCTGGATTTTAAAGATTATATAGAAATTTGCTTACTTTGATTTCGGATGAGATTTTTGGAATCGGAATCGGAATTGGGGCGTTTCCCACTATTATATTGGTCGAGTAGGTTTGCAGTTCTTGATCAATTTTGATAAATCGATTCCGACGAAATGGAATCTGAAATAAAATAAAGATATGCTGCATGTTAAATATTTGGAAAAGCAAATTATTACAGCAACAACGTTTCCTGGGTTATTAATTAGTTTTCGGAGTTCTGGGATTCAGAATATTATTCTTTGCATGTTTAGATGTGTTCTGCAAATCTACCTTGTTTCCTTTTGGATATATATGGAGATGGATATGAACTTGGCATGTGATTGTTTACTAATTTTGTCATAACCCGTGATGTCTACAGCAACCAAGACCAGTTGCTTGTTCTTCTTGTGATTCAAATGGGCATATTGATTGCAAATGGTGCGCTGGTACAGGTTTCTTTATTCTTGGTGATAACATGCTCTGCCAAGTTCCTTCAAGAAATACTACTTGCGTTATATGTGCTGGAAAGGTATATTTTTGGTTAAACAAGAGTTGAGTCGCGTAAGTGTGTGTACACACACACACACACACACATATACACACATATATATGTTTATAGTACGACTACTATTTCCTGATTCATTGAATGCCTTGCATATGATTTTTCCAGGGGTCAATGCGCTGCTCTGATTGCAAAGGGACGGGATTTCGTGCCAAGTGGCTAGGAGAGCCTCCTATTTCCAAGTAGCAGCACGAAGTCTCAGCTGTTGAAACCTACAACCATCAAATCAAGGCTGCAAATCATTGTAGTAACACCATATTGATATTCTGATTTCTTAAAGTCCGTAAAGTCCTCTCCCAGATATTATGATCAAAATTTTACCGATACAGCTGCTTTAACTTCGTACTTCAAGTTAAACCCTCAATTGTTTTAACGTTGTAGTTATGAATCACTACACGTATAGCATATTCCTTTAAATTCTGGATATGAAGTTGTATGATTGCCTCTTCATAATTTTGTGTAGTTGTGTGACTTATTAGAAGCTCTTCATTCGAAGTTTTGACAATCGAAATTGAGATCAATAGTATCAAACATGTTTGTCCTTGGAATACTTTGGCAAATCTTGAGATTCAAATTTCCTTCCTCACATACAGTAGTTATGAGTTATAAGAGATATTTTTACCAACATCTTAAACAGAAACAGAACTTTTAACAGATACACGTCAAATGCACAAAAAGACTAATGGCATTGGCATATGTAGGTCCATAACGTTGAACTTGTAATTCTTTTACCAGAAAATACTTCCAACAGAAATACATACAAATGATTATAATTACATTGGTATAGGCAAACAACTTCTTGCAAGCCAGTATGTAAAGATGGCCCAATCAATCTTTCTTGTCAGTTGCTCTGAACTATAGCTGAGAAGAGTAATTTGTTAACGTCCTCCGGATTTGAATTGCTCTCATCTCCTGTATCATGTGGACACTTTGTTAGCACTAAGCACACTATGACTATTTAGTACATGGTGCTTTAGGTTTAGTCATTCATTAGAGATCGCGTCATGCTGGGAAGACATTGATTTCTAGCCTAACATGAGACCCCATTTTATTGCAAAACCAGCTCAAACGATAATCCATATATCTCAAAATTATTATTTTTTTTTTTAAATTAACAAAAAAAGCTTCTTTAACAGCTATGGAAATTCCCGTTATTACCGCTGTATTTATTCCACAGGAACAGAACTAGCAAAACGTTAATCTCAGATATCAACAGTAAAACAAGAGTCCACATTGAAAAGCATTATTATTTCTTATCCATAAGGTTTAAACAGAGAATCAGTGTGGCTTTGATGGATTACCTGTTCCTGATCTGACTTGACCTGTCCACTCATCAATAATCTGCATTAACAAAAGATCAGTTTTGCTTTCGTCATGGCATTGTCTTCCACGCCTTTGTGTGCGTCTAAATGGGCCAAGTCAAAAATGGAACGAAATGTTTTTTTTTTTTGGGGAAAAAAGGAATTGCCTAAACATGTACAAGGCTTTAACAAATCTACCCATGAAACATCTATGCCCACAGGTATATTACAAGAAACAGCCTTGCCACAGATTAATGTCGGTTGCTTGCTGGCAAATGGTGCAAACACTAGATACACCACTTGGAAAATTATACAACCACCCAATTCAGCATGCTAAACAGGAACAAATAAGAAAACTATGGACGACAAAAAGATTGAAAAAACCATAAATCCTTTCCTTTATAAAAGGATGTTTGAATACTTTACATAAGTTGAACTGTTTCATTCTTTCTCATCACTAAAATTTCATACGAGTTAAAGGGTTCATTCCCAATTAATGTGGAAGAAAAAGAAATACCTGGTTGAAGTAATCAAAAGCAGAGTCACCAGCATCATCAGTTAAAGGAACTTCCATGGATGATTGCATCCGCTGAAGCAAGCTTCTGTTTCCAACAAGAAGCGTTCGCGCCCCATCAATCAAACCCTGCATTTGAAATCAAACCACAAAAACCGAAAATTACGACGATATAGTTCGAACTTAGAAACTTGATTTTGCTTCAAAATGTGAGTTTTTAAAGTAGAAACAGTCACCTGTTTCGCAGAGAGAAGCTCGTGGCACTGCTCTTTCAAAGCCGACAAATCTTCCTGAATCTTCTTGATTCTTGAAACCAGCTTCATTGGATTCGCCTGCAAAAAAAAAAGAACAAAAAACAAAAGAGAATTTTCAGGAATTTAACAACTGCGATTGAAAATTTGAAAAGGCGAGACTTCGAGAATTGGGTTTTGGCGAACAAACATTGTCGGGGTAGACTTGTTGGAACTCCTTCTCGAGCCTCTGTTGAACCAGCGTCAGATCGTGATTAGCTTTCGTCAATAGCTTCAGCAAACCGTCCGTTGCTTCGTGGTGCACTTGATCTGTATACCCCATTCTCTCTCTCCCTCTCTCTCTCTGTTTCTCTCTCCTAGGGCTCTTAAAGCTACAATTTCCCCGCCTCTTGTACTGTGAGTGTGAAGTGTGAAGTGTGAAGATATTTGTCTTTTGATTTTCATCGTGGGAAATACTCGCGCCTTTCTTACACCGCATTCCTTAAAGGGGAAAAAGGGCTAATTGCACTTGTGCACCCAAAACTTATTATATTTAACAATTTAGACCCCGAACTTATAACTTTGACAAATTCGAAAGATTTTTACACAAATGCACTGCAAGCTTTTCGTTGATTGAAAAATTAAATCATGAACTTTTTAGATTTTGACATTTTAGATATTAATTGTTCTACATTAATTGATCTCTATTATTGATTTTACCTGAACTTTTTAGGTTTTGACATTTTAGATATTAATTGTTCTACATTAATTGATCTCTATTATTGATTTTACCATATCGTCAAGAATTGTGAAGTTTAAGAACATTTTTAATGCAATGTTATAATTAATGTGCTAATTATAAATTTAATATTGGAGTGTAAAAAAATTCTTTAATGCAATGCTATTTGTTGTACTAAATTTTTAATATGCTATATTTTATGGTAAATTTCCCACCAAATATAACATATGAGAAATTTAACATTTAATTGTTATTGATTAAAATATTTATTTTTTCATATAATCATTACAACTTTTATATTTTTTAATTATCTTAAAAATAAAAATTTACTTTTATAAATTTTAAAATTTAATAATTAGAGATTTTCTCATATACATTTCTTTTTTTTCCTCACTGGTAGGTCACATAAAAAAGAGTTTGACTCTATTTTAATTGTTGTCACACACTATCTAATACTGCACACGCGCTTACCATAGTAGAAATAAAAGTGGCGAGTGTAATCAATGACACGCACAAGTGGCGTCAAGCAGGTTACAATCTTTTTAAAGCCCGGTTTTAGCGAGTACTAACATGAACCGCTGCCGATTTAAAAAACAAAAACATGAACCATTGATGCACAATTTAGTCATTAACTCGACCCGTTTAGTTTGTTGATTTAAATTTTTAATTTGAGTTAAAATATTATTTTATATGAGAATTTTTTACTGTAATAAAAAAATTAAATATGACTGTTTCTAAAAACTTTTTACTGTAATAAAACTCGAATTTTAAATTTTAATCGATAAAATAAGCTGACATCATTTATAAAAATTATTTAGATAAAACAAAAATAATAATTATACTCAATCTACCATTGGTGCGTCCTCAAGGAAAAAAAAAACGTTGATGCTATTTCTTTTTGTGGGATTATAGACCAAAAAACAAATCTAAATTTTTTATTTAAAGACTCATTGAAAAATGGCTAAAAAGTGAGATGTCGTCGCCTATAAAATCCGGCGTGTGAAGGACGGTGGCCCTCCATAAGGTATTTTGTGGGATCTTTAGAGGTATGAGTTATTTATTTATTTTTTATTTTTGGATTGTGGTTGAGTGAGTTCAATGGTTTGGCTATGGAGCAACGTGTTGATTCTGGTACTCCGACGAGTTTGGACTACTTTAGTTCTGATTTGTCTTGGTAGATAGGGGATAGCCCAGATGAACAAGTGTTATTCCAGAGGCAGAAAAGGTCGCATTGATTTCTGGACTGGTTTTTTTTTAAAACGTTTTTGTGCATCTTTTAAAACACGAAAATGAAAACGGTCTGTAAATCGTGTATGTTTAGTAAATGTTTTGAAAACGAAAACAAAAATAAAAAATAAAGAGAATGATTTTTGTGAAAGAATTAAAAAACGATTGAAAGTAATTTTCTATTTTTCTGTTTTTATTTTCTAGTACTTATCAATAATATTATAATATATTAATTAATAATTATAATTAAATACGATTTTATTTTTTTATTATACTCAAAATAATTTTTTAAAAAAATTAACTAAATACAATTTCAGATACGATCCTATAATAATTTTCAAAATAATCTTATTTTTATTTTTATACTAAAAATAAAATCATTTTACAAACGATATCAAACGAGCTCAAAAGCTCTTAGATTGAGGGTGTTCATTTGTTTTCGTTTTTGTTTTTGTTTTTAGTTTTTTTGAAGGAAGCTCATGTTGTTTTTAAGCCACTTGCGGTTGGCTTCTTCAAGTTAAGAGGAGGGTGCTCACTGATGTTCTAGATCCAGTTTAAAATTTAAGCATTTAATTTTTTTTTTAAAAAGAAATAAACAACAGGTTTTAGATTTTGTGGGTACCTCTTCTTCAATTGAAATTTGAAAACATTGGATCAGAAGAAAAAGACCCAAAGAATATAGGGAGAAAGAGAAAAATAGACTAAAACTTGAGATGAATTAAAATTAATAGGTCAATAGTTTACATAAGTTAATAAATAGGCTAAATTACTGTTTTCGTCCATAACTTGTCTGGTTATGAACCATAACTTGATAAGTTATTGTCCGTAACTTATCTGGTTATGAACCGTAACTTGACAAGTTTATTCATAATTTATCTAGTTATAAACAATACATTAATAAGTTATAACCTATTAATTTCTATAATTAAAAAATAATCTATATACTTTCTTAAACTTTTTATATTAGCATATTTTCTACTATTTCTCAAGAATATATATTAAAGAAAACGTATTGCATTTGAGTTTTTGCGGGTGAAATGTGAATGAATGAGCGATTGATGTTGGAGTTAAAAATCTGATACTGATGGGAAGATCCGACGGTGCCTCTTACGTTTTTCAATAAACATCTATTTTTAATTGTAAAATAGAACAAAAGTACAGCTGGGAAAATAGTACTCGTGGAGTCGTGAAAAAGAGCAATACCGAATGGATTAAAGATCTATACCACATAATTTTTATTTAGCGCTTAATAAATATAAGTCCTACCGGTAGGACAAAACAAGCCGTAGCAATAGAGAAGGACCTTAATAATTAAGGAAAAAAATAGATTTAACATTTTAAATAATATTACCTATTGAGTAAAAATGAAAATAAACATAACATATTTTATTTTTATATTAAATATAGACATTAATATTTATATTGGAGATGTTCTAAGATTTTAAACGTAAAAATTAAAAGTTGTGTTTGGAATTAATCATGTTTTTGTTTTTTACGTTTTTTGAGAAAGAAAAAATAAAAATATTTTTAAAACGACGTTTGGCGCAATAAAAATAAAAAAATAAAAAATAATTTTTTAGTTTAGTATAAAATGAGAGAGAAATGAAAAGCGACGGCCGTGTTTAGAATTGATCTTATTTTTATTTTTTACGTTTTTCGAGAGAAAAAAATGAAAACGTTTTCAAAATAGCGTTTGACGCAATAAAAACAAAAAATGAAAATGAAAATGATTTTTTGATTTCGTGTAAAATGAGATAGAAATGAAAAACGACTTTAACGACTTTTAGTCGTTTTTCATTTTTTATTTTCGTTTTCTCCTCTCTTGAGCAGAGAGAAAGAGAGACATTAACGAGTTTTTTTTTTTATATTGAAAACAATCTCTTGATAAAATTATCAAACGCATTTTTAAAAATGATTTTTATTTGAGATTAAAAATATTTTCATTTTCATACAAAAAATAAAATAATTTTGGAACGAGTTCCAAATGCACCTGACTTTTAGTCGTTTTTTATTTTTTGTTTTCGTTTTCTCTTCTCTCGGGCAGAGAGAGAGAGACATTAATGAGTTGTTTTATATTGAAAATAATCTCTTAATAAAACTACCAAATATATTTTTAAAAATAATTTATGTCTGAGATTGAAAACGTTTTTATTTTTATTTTTATATAAAAAATAAAATTATTTTAGAACAAGTTTAAAAAACGCCTAAAAACTATTTCTCAAAAAATAAAATAAAATAAGTCTGAGATCCAAATTGTAAATGACAAAACTTCAGGATGTGCGTGCAATTTACCAAAAAAAGAAAAAAGAAAAAACTTGGGAGAGAAACCATTAACCACCCTCTCTGGAAGAGACTAACAGCCATGGCGACGAGCGAGGAAGAGAGGCTTCTGGAGACCCAGTTAGAGCTCCAATTGCGGGAGCAAAGGGACTCTCTCGCTGCCATTAACGATGCCCTTGCTTCTGACCCTTCCAATCCCGAGCTTCTCGCGGTACGCCCCCTTTTCCCACTCTCTCAGATCTCTAACAAATCAAATTTTGTTTTTTCAGTCAAAATTTTCCCTTTTAAGAACTGGAAGTAAAATTCAGATAAAATCGACGGAAATACTATCACTCGCTCCGTCCAATTGTTGATTTATTTATTTTTTTCAATTTTGAATTGAATATAAATTTCCGTTTGGTTCATACGTTTAGACCATTTGACTTTTTAGCTGTGTACATATTTTTTTTAATAGTTTCCTTAAACTTGGGATACACATACTGCTGTAAATTTGTCAGGTTTCGGAGGAGCTCGTTCAGGCAATTAAAGATGCGGAGGAGGGGCTTCTCCATCTGAAACGTGCCAGGTTACTTAGAGAAGCTGATTCAGTGTTACTTGGTTCTGGTCATGATCATAAGGATGTTAAGGAGGCAGAACAACAACCTTCCGTGGACGCCACTGAAAATGTTGAGCCTGAACCTTTGGAGGACCCGACCTACATTGTTGGATCAAAATGTCGATTCCGCCACACTGATGGCCGTTGGTATAACGGTCGAATCGTCGCCGTCGATGGCTTCAGCTCCGCGAAGATTTCGTTCCTCACCCCTACATCGGAAAATATGCTGGTAACGTAAAACTACAATTTTGAATCTTTTACATGCTTTACCATTTATTAAAATGTTGAGCAATTTGTATTATGAGCTTTTCTTTGATGAGGATTGCTTCCGAATTTGTTATGGTTTTGGTCTGCTTCTTTTATGCGACTAGGGATTCAACTGTTGTATACGACAAGGAAATGATAACTCAATTCGTTCGTTGAACCGTTGGATCTTTGGTGCTTGTCACCATAGTAAACTAACACTAGACCTCAAACTGCAGATGTGCAAGTTCTTTCTGCAGCAACGATGTCGATTTGGTAGTAACTGCCGCTTATCACACGGTATTCTGCAATCATATCTATCTTTATACCAGTCACCATAGACAGTTGCTCCTTAAGAGTCTCACGGCTTGGTTATAGAGTATTATCCGAATTCTGGGCAGTAAGTGTTTGAGAATTGTTCTCATTGGACACATTTCACTAATTTTGGGATAGAATGAGTAAGGAATACTAGTTTTTCCTCAACGTGAAAGCATCATCATCATTGTTTCCTACTTTCGCCAAAAAGGCAAGGGCCGGGGAGCAGTTTGGAACCCATTTTTAGGCTTCTAATGTACATAGTTTCCTACTTTCTCCTAAAAGGCAAGGGCCGAGGAGCAGCGGGGAACCCATTTTTAGGCTTCGACAGAATCCAATTTGAATTACGACTTTGCATTTCCTTATTTCTTCCGAAGTTCATTTTATTTTATTTTATCTTATTTGTGTTAGTGTACAATGCAACTTTCTCTCCATTTTCTATCATCGGTCCATCGTCATAAAAAGTTCTCCTTTCTTGCATTTTGGCATAGCAGCAAATTATTCCCAAGGATTTTATATGCTCTATATAACTGTTTTCTTAAATATGTTATTGGACAATTTCAGACTACAGTTTTCATCGGAAACCCTTTTATCTGCTTTTATTGTTGTTGGGCATATTGAAGTTAAGTTTAGATTTCATTTACAGGAGTCGATGTTCCATTGTCCTCCCTGAAAAAGTATATCCTGACAATATGGGACCAGTCACTAGTGGGTTCCAGAATTTGGGCAAGCTCTGATAGTAAGGGTGATCTTTGGAGGGAAGCTGAGCTTGAATCATGGGATGATTTACTTGGGGCAGGAAAAGTTGTTTTCCGAGATGATGGAAGCTCTGCAAACCTGGGGGATGAGGCTATTACATTATCAGAGTATGCTGATATGAGCAATGACGAAGAAAGTGATTCCAGCTCAGACCAATCTGATTCTAGTGACTTCGATGAAGAGGGCTCACAAGGTTTAGGATTTCTAGATAGCACCACCCTGCAGCGAGGCATCCAGAAAGAAACAACCATATTTGCCAAGTGGGAGAACCACACTAGAGGTGTAGCCTCCAAGATGATGTCTAATATGGGTTACCGTGAAGGGATGGGTTTAGGTGTTTCTGGGCAGGGAATGTTGGATCCGATATCAGTCCGTGTTCTTCCTGCTAAACAATCTCTTGATCATGCTGTCGAGTCTCTTGAAGGGGAAGAGAGCAAAGAGAATCAAGGAGGAAAGAAGCGGAGCAGAGGTGGTAAGAGGAAACGTGATAAAAAGTTCGCAGCATTGTCTAGGGCAGCAAAAGAGGAAGAGGAATTGGCTCCAGACGTTTTCAGCCTTATCAACAACCAACTCACGAAGCATAGTGAAGCTCTTAATGGTTCAGTGAAGAAGCAGCAGCAAAATAAAGATTCTTTAGAGGGGAGGAAGGTTGATCGGCGAACTTTGGTTGCATATGATGATGAAGTGAAGGATCTGAGAATGAGGGTTGAGAAGCTTGAAGAAATGATTCACAGAAACAGAAAAGAGAAGGTGGTTTACGAGGCGGCTATGAGGAAACTGACTGAGACAAGGAAAGCGTTGGCCGACGCTGAGGCAGCTCATACTTCTGCCTCAAATGCAGTTATCAGCAAAGAAAAAGAGAAGAGATGGCTCAAGTTTTGATGCTTATTTTGTATGCGTGATGTTCATCTGCATAACAAGCGGATCTTCTTGCATTAAGATGACATTTTGGTTGCGTACTTGCATCTATTGATGTTCAGGAATTTAGTGCATCCCCTGATTATAGAAAGCATGCTATCTGTTGATATTCAAGATTGTTCTTTCTGTTTCTGATATTCTATTCTACAATCTTCCTAATGTTAATGGATGCAAGTATATACTTTGTTCATACCTTACCGCGTAACATTGTTAAGTACATAACAAATACCATATTTCAACTTCTTAAAAAAGAAACATATATGACCATCTTCAATTTTGTTTAGTTATGTAAAAAAGAAATTTTTAATAATGACATAGATAAAATTATTTTTCTCAAGTTTAATATATACTAATAAGGAATATGATTATTCCAGATTCTATTATCTACTAGATTTTGATTATTTTATTTTCTTGTGGGGGTAGAGATGCCCTCTAATTTTTGTGCTCAATATATGCACTCTAATTATTAGGGAGAATTATATTTATTGTTTCTACGTTATTCTAATATTCTTATCTTTGTTTTCGAGAAATGCAAATAAATTGCCTACGACACGAGACAAATATTAGCTTGTTTGGTAAAATATCTCACGTGTTTGAACCCAAAAACATAGCCGAGCAGTTATTTGATAAAAATTTTGGACGCCCAACCTACGATGTGATATTTTGAACCGAAAAGGCCCTTCAATTTCAGATTTACCTCTCCCACAATTTCAACATTCCAAACCCATTTTCTACGGTGTTTTTAACTATCACTTCTTCTCTTTAAAAAAAAAAATATTTAATTACATTTTATTTTCTTTTTAAATCACATGTCAAATGATATCCAAAAGTTATTTCATACAACAAGTTTAAAAACACACTTTTCAAACTTTCAAGTTCAAACCACCTTTGCGTAAAATTTTAATTAGGGTGCGTTTAGTTGCAGTGTGGATTTGATAATAGTAATAAGAATGAGAATAATAATGATAATGAAATAGAAAAGAAAATTAATTCATTTATTTGGTTGTAATTTTAGAAATACTATGAAATGGAACATGAATATTTTCATATTGATAAAATTACCCTTATATTATATATAACATTAATATTTTATATATTAATATAATTAATATATAAAATGGTAATGAAATGGAAAAAAAAATCGATTCATTTATTTAGTTGTAATTTTAAAAATACTATGAAATGGAACATTAATATTTTCATATTGAAAAAGTTACCTTTATATTATATATAACACTAATATTTTATATATCAATATAATTAATATAATATAATATAATTATTATTATATAAATATTATATAATTATGATATAGAATATAATAATATTATTAAAATGGTTAATGTAATTATAATATTTTTAATATATTATAAGATTATATAATAAATAATAATATTTTAATTACAATATAATTAAAAATTATAACTATATTATATTATACTATAATATATAATTGTTATATTTAATATAATACAACAAAACTATTATTATATACTATATAATTATGATATAGAATATAATAATATTATTAAAATGATTAATATAATTATAATATTATAAAAATATTACAATATTATATAAAAAATAAAAATATTTCAGTTATAATATAATTAAAACTCAAAACTATATTATAATATATATATTTATAATATATAATATAAAAAT